CGGTGGTGATCGTGATGGTGATGATGTGCGGTGGTGGTAGTGGCGTTGGTGCGTCCGTCTTCCTAGATTCCTAAATATTTACCTCTCTGTCTACATGTTTATTTGTCTATCTGTAGGTCTAAACGTCTACCTATCCATATACGTATCTATGTATATACCTATATATATATATATATATATATCCATCTATCGATCGATCTCTGTATCCACCATCAGGAATCCACCATCGGGACAACCATCGGGACAACCATCGGGTCAATTATCGGGACAACCATCGGGAGAACCATCGAGTCAACCATCGGGACAACCATCGGGACAAGCGTCGGGACAACCATCGGGACAACCGTCGGGACAACCATCGGGACAACCATCGGGACAACCATCGGGACAACCATCGGGACAACCATCGGGACAACCATCGGGACAACCAACGGGACAACTATGGGGACAACTCTCGGGACAACCATCGGGACAACCATCGAGACAAGCATCGGGTCAATTATCGGGACAACCATCGGGACAGCCATCCGGATAAGCATCGGGGCAATTATCGGGACAACCATCGAGTCAACCATCGGGACAACCATCGGGACAACCGTCGGGACAACCATCGGAACAACCATCGAGACAACCATCGGGACAACTATCGGGGCAACCATCGGGACAACCATCGGGACAAGGGGCCATCGGGACAACCCGCAGGACAACCATCGGGGGGGCGCGCCTTGGGGGGGGGGGCGGGGGCGACCCTTTGAGCTCCATGTGGCCTCCACCAGTTTAGGACCTCGCGCAGCTTCGTTTCGCCCGCCCGCACGACACGAAACGAAACCGAAACCGATTTCCCGTATGGGCCACTTCTGTTCACACCCCCCAATCTCTAATAAATTGGGCCTCCCTTGGAACACGAATCCTTGGTGTTTTAGTTATGTTGCCATGGATTGTCCTTCCGCGTATGCTCTTTTTATATGTTATACGTATATTCCTAAAGATTGGGCCTCCCCGGGGGCACGAATCCGTAGTGTTTTACGCGTGTTCCTATAGATTGCCTCGTTCTTGTGGTTCCAATCCATAGTATCTTACATGTGTTTCTACAGATTGGGCCCCTCTTGGGGCACGGCTCCTGCCGAGAAGTGCCCAGGAGACCCCCGGGGGCTGTTGGAAGCCCCAGGAGACCACACGAGGCCCTAGGAGGCTTCAGAAGGCCACAGGAAGCCCCAAGAGGCCCCAGGAGGCCCGGACAGGTTCCATGCAGGAGGCCCCAAGATGTTCCAGTGGTTTCCACGGTGTCCTCTGCATCTGCGTGGTCGCCACAAGGTGGCCGGCGGGGGTCCAGGGGAAGCCACCGGAGGAGGCGCTCGGGCCCATGCCCGCGGACCACCCAGGAACGTCGCTGGATCAGGAAATCCAGGAATTAATCCAATTAGTTGTTTGTACAAAACATTATGCAAACAAAGAAGTGGATGAATTTTGGGATTGGAATGTGTGGGTACGTTATTGGATATTTGTTTGGCTGACTTGCCGCGGCCTCTAGGGGCCAGTTTGGGGATGAAACCCGCCCCCCCCCCACAAGGCGAGGTTTTCGGATGAAATCCGGAAGGCCCCGGGTGTAGCTTTTGGACGGAAGATTGGGCGTTCCCAGGTGCAGTTTTTGGATGCCCTTTGTTGCGTGCGAGCATTGCAACTGCTGCTGCTGCTCCTCCCCCTCCCCTGCCTGAAACGCGGTGCCTGAAGCACCCCGAACGGCCGCCAAAGGCCCGACCTTTGGCCCGAGAGTCCCCCCGAGGGGGCGGAGGAGCGAGGATGGTTTGAGCCTCGAAGGGCTTTCGGGGGGAAGTATACAGTGCCGTTTCTAATACATGCTCCGCGTGCGGATCATGTATTGAACATGTAGGGATTCAGTATTAAAAACAACGATGAGCTCGTGCATAAATTTATTCATACATTAATCATGGATTAAACATCCGATATGTTTAAAAACCCTATGTATTAAAAACTCCTCTGTAGATTGACCAAGGTCCTCGGAGGTCTCGGGGGGGGTCTCCGGGGGCCCCCTGAGGTCCACCGAGGCCCTCGGAGACCCCTGGGGGCCCAGGAGGTGCCACGCCATCCACAGACATCCACAGGCCTCTGTCCTCGACCCTGTAGCCTGGATGTGTAATCCTCGAGCTCCGACCGACCATGCGCACGCGCATTCAGGTTTCAGTGTTCACAGGCCCAGACGTACTCAGACCCTCTCATACCTAGAGACTGGCACTCACACTGAAGCGTACCTGTGTTCATTCACATTCAGATTCATGCACACGCTCCGCGAAGTGAATGATGCGAGGCAACTTTGGGGACCCCGGGGTTCCTGGAACCCCGCGCGGATTCCGCTGAGTAGGGGGGGAGAGGCGAAAAATTGGGGCGGGGCGGGAGGGGCGAGGAACGGCGACAGTGGACGACGACGGACGACGAGCGGACGACGGACCGCGACGACGACGACGACGCCGACGACGACGGAGGACGGAGGACGGCGACGCCGAGGGCGACGACGACCGCGACGGCGGCGGCGACGATGACGACGACGATGGCGACGACGGCCACGACGACCACGGAGACCGCGGCAGCCGCGATCCCGAGGACCAGCGTAGAACCGAGGGCAGCTTTACATGGGTGACGAGTTCTTTCAGGCAGCCTGGGAGAGCCCTGGGGCTCCGGTGGGTCCGCGCGGATTGTGTACATCAGCGAAACGGGGCGAGAGGAAAATGCAGGGGACGGGCAAGGAAGGACGACGACTGACGACGAGTGGCGATGGGCAACGGACGACGACGACGATGACGACGACAACCACGACCACGATCACGACCACGACCACGACCACGACCACGACCACGACGACGACGACGGAGACGACGACGACGATGACGACGGAGACGACGACGGTGACGACGACGACGATGACGACGACAACGACGACGACGACCACGACGACGACGACCACGACGACCACGACGACGACGACCACGACGACGACCACGACGACGACGAAGACGGAGACGACGGTGGTGGCGGCGACTACGACGACGGCGACGGCGACCACGACGACGACACCGACGGCGGAAAACCGCTCTACGACGCAGCATGGGGAAGTGCGCGACGCCGAATGACATTCTAATTGTCCTGAACGGAACAGCGGAGGCGGCGCGGTCAGGGTGTGTTTCGGTGCTGGCCCGAACGGGTGGTTTGTCTGGGAGCCCCCCCTTCATCGATTCGCGAAGTCCGCCACGCCCAGGCGCGAGCCTGCGGCCTTTCCGCGAGCCCCCCGGCACGACGCGTGGCGTCGTCGCGTTTTGCCGTTTGCGGTTCGGCCGGTTTCCGCTTGGCGCCACGCCCTGCCCCGCGCGCGTCGTCCTCGCTGTTCCGCCGCGCGCTTTGGTTCGCAATCGCCGCGCGTCCGCCGCCAGCCCGAGGGGGCGGGGGGGGGCGGGGGTCCCCCCCCCGCCCTCGCCTCGCGAGTCCCGCCGGCCCACGGCCCTCGAGCGCCTGCCGTCCCCACACGCCGCACGAGCGTCGCCTCGTCTTGCTGCTCCCAGTTAGGGGATGTCCTCGCTGGCGCAGCGGTTCCCCCGCGCGCGTCGCGCGCGCGCAATTCTGCCCCGCGCGTCCGCGCGCGGTGTCCATCCGCCCGCCGCTGGCCTGGGCGGGCAGTCCGGCGGGGCTTCCTCCTCTGCACTCGCCGTGCGATTCCGCGCCGTCCGCGGAGTCTCTGGACTCCCGCCGCCTCCAGGCGCCGCGCGAGCGTCGCCGCGCATGGCCGGTTTCGGCTCGGCCATGGGGGAGGGGGGGGGGGACTGCGGAGAGGGATTTTTCTACTTGCGCCTCTCGGTGGTGGCCACAATCGGCGGCGGCGCCCGCTGGCAACGAGGCCCTGGGTTCGATCCTGCGCGCCGCCGACGTCGATTCGACCCCGCCGTGCCTTGCCGGGAAGGTTGGGGGCGAAGCGGGGGGCCCGATTGCGAAGCAGGATGCGAAGAGGGCTTCCGGGCGGGGATGGAAGAGGGAGGGGGGGCCGCAAGGGCGGCAAGAGCGGGGGGCGAGCCCGCGGCGACGCGCCGTAGCCGGCGCGCGGCGGATTTGAGTTGCAGCCATCCAGGCGAAGCATTCCCCGTGCAATGGGGAACGGTTTGTTGGCAGCGGTCCGCACGACCTTGCGACAGAAAAAGTTGTTGGATGTATCCGTTTTGCACACGGGTCAGAGCCGAACAGGTACCGATACCGCTTCCCTTCCCTCGCGCTCGCCTGTTCTGAGCCCCCCTCAGAGACCCTCGTCGCCACGGCTGGATTCGCTTCGACGGTTCTGAGTTCCCCGGAGACCCAGATACTCTAGAACCGTCGGCGGTTCTAGGCACCCCGTGGCTTCGTATTCGTCGACCTTCGAGTCAACAGTTGAAAGCCGACGGTTTCGAGCGCCACGCGGCCCTCATATTTTGGAACCGTCGGTGGTTCTAGGCGCCTCGCGGCCTCGCACACGTGTAGCCATCGGTCCTACAGTTTACAGCCGGCGGTTCTGAGCGCTTGGCGGCCCCAGGTGCTCTAGGACTTTCGGTGGTTCTAGGCGCCCCGCGGCCTCGAATCTTGCAAAACCTTCGGTCTACAGTACAGAGCCGACGGCTCTGAGAGCCTCGCGCTCAGATGCTCTGGAACCGTCGGCTTCCATGCGACCCGCGGCCCCTCATGCTTTACAGCTCTCGGCCCTACAGTGTAGAGCCGACGGTTCTGTGAGCTTCGCGGCCCCAGATCTCTAAAACCGTCGGTCCTGAATTTTGGAGCCGACAGTTATTCGCGCCCCGTGGCCCCGAATATTGTCGAACCGTCACACCGATCCTGGCCAGGCCGATATTGGGCCTTGGATCGGTGCGTGCGCCTTCTTGCCTAAGCAAGGAAAGCGCATACACCAGTCCCAGGCTCAGGTGAGCCTGGCCAGGGTCGATGTAGGTGTATGGTTGGCGTCCTCCTGCAAGGGCGTCGGGGGGCTGGTGCAAGGCCTGGGCCAGCGCCTCTCCTCCTGGACCCCGTTCCTGTCGGCGGACCCAGCGGCGGAGCTGGCGGCGCAGCTGGCCGCGATGGGCTACGCCGAGGACGAAGCAGATGCCGCGTCCAGGAGGTGTTCGTCGGTGGACGCGGCGGTGGAGTGGCTCTCTGCGCGCCCCGGGCCTGGCCAGTGAGGGCACGGACCCCCCCCCCGGGCTTGCCACGGGCGTCGCGCGACCCGGCCTGGGCGCACTCTGGCCGCACAGATGCCCAGCGCCGATTTGGAGAGGAGGAGGAGGAGGAGGAGGAGGAGGAGGAAGAAGAAAAAGAAGAGGAGGAGGAGGACCAGTGCAAACCCAAGACTCTTCAACAATGTTGGAATACACCATTCTTCTCAAGCTGCCTCGCCACAGGCACCACGGAGTCATCTTCACTGCAGCAGGAGGAGGGAAAGGAGCGGGGATCGGGCAGGCCTGGAAAAAGATAGGGGTCGTTCCAGAGCGCGCTCCGGAGCGCTCGGGAACGCCCGCGGGGCCCAGTCCGTCCTACAAGCCCGCCGTTGTCTCGGAGGTCCCGAGCTGTTTATGTGTGGCGTCGCTTTCCTTCGGGTCGCCGCAGGAGGGGAGGACCAGCACGAGTTCGCAGCTGGGTGCGGCGAGGCGGAACGATTGGGGGGGGGGGGGGGCGCGAGTCGAAACCCCGAATCGGCCAGGGTAGATCGAGGAAGGGCGAACACGGAGCAAGGGGCATGGCCTATAGCGACGGGCCCAGCCTTCCACGCATCAGCAGCTCGCTCCGTCGCCGAGTCGGGCGGCGCTGGCCTCGTGCTTCGGGGGAGCCCTTGCCCGATGCATGGACCGTGCGCCACCGCGCCAGATCCACGGATCCCCGGTCCACGTTGGCGCGTGCCCGAGTAAAGAGTCAAGTGCCCACTGACTTGCTGGATCCGGGATGAGGGGTGTGCGAAGGGGACGATGGCGGAGCTTCTGCTCTCTCTCTCTCTCTGGTTGCACTTCGATGCCTTCCGCTGGCCCATCTTGTGACGTTGCCACACGGTTCGGTGGTAGCGATGGGTCAGAAGTTGTTGAGTTGTGGTTTTCTCCCGCCGCCATGTGATGCCAGCGGTGCGGAGCATGTTCTCGGATTGGGTGGGGTCTCTCTCAAGAGGCAAGGGGGGTTGCAATGAGATCACGAATCGAAAGAAGTTGAGGAGATGAGGAAGGGAGGAGGGAAGGAGGGGGTTGGGATGTAAGAGAAAAGAAGGAGCACGGATGAGGAGAATGGCGGGAGAGATGAATATCAGGTGGGAGGGAGGGAAGGGGGAGGGGCGAGGTGAGTGATGAAGGGAAGGAAAGGGAGGGCAAGGGAGGGGACGAAAGGAAGGAGGAATGGAAGGAGGAATGGACGAAGATGAAGTGAAGGGAGGGGGGAGGGAGGGAGGAATAAAGTGGCTGGGTGGTGTGAATGCAGGGGGGGAGAGAGGGACGGAGGAAGGGAGGAACGGGGGCGGGAGCCGAGGGAGAACGAGATGCCTGGAGTGGACCGGGCGAGGCCACAAGACGGGACGGGACGGCAGGGAATGTGAGTGGAGAGGAGAGGGAAGGGGAGGGGAGGAATGGAGGTGGGTCGGCGGCGAGCGAGGGGGGCAAGTGAGACGGGGCGGGCCTTCTCAGAGGGCTCGGAAGTCCCGCGGCCTTCTGAGAAGCTTTCTAAGCCTTCCCCGAAGACAGAAAACCTGTCAGAAGGCCAGAGGCCTTCTGAGAAGTCTCGCCGCCTTCTGAGAAGTCTCGCCGCCAAATGAGGGGGTTGATTGGGAAACGACAGGGAGGGGCGCAGGGGAGACAGGAACATGAGTGGGAGGTGGGACCCTCGCGGACAATGCAAACTGCCAAGACGGTGATTGACGGAACTGGTGATTCGAACGCGTGTGCGTTGGGCCAGTGGGTATAATATTGGAGGCAGCTTCGACTCTGCGAGTCGCGGGTATGCCATCAGCGCGGCTGGAGGTGCGGTCCCCTCACAAGACGCAATTGCAGTGACGTGCGGATCCTGGATTTTGCGGGTGGCCATCGGGCCGGGGCGAAGACCATTAGGAAATTGTTGGAGGGGCCAGAAAGTGTTTAGAAGGTCCAGCCTTTTCTGTGGCACGCGCAGGGGGCGGCTGATCTATTGGCTCGCGCCCTATCGCGCCGCCGTTCTTGGATTGCAGATGCGAGGTGGAGTGGGAACGTCGGCTTCCCAGGAAATGGGCCTCCTAATATTAGATTCAATACTTTCGGGATCTAATCGGGGCCTACCAGGAGCTTCAAGTGAGCGGGACTCTTGGGGGTCTTGCGGGGCTCTCTTAAATTCGTTTTGCGGGTTTGTTTGGGGGGGCTCGGGGCCTATTTGGCGGTTGCTGGAGGCCTCTTGGGGCATGGTGGCTGTCTCGGGTGTCATCTTGAGGAGGGGAGTTCTAAATGGCATTTCGAGTTTCCCCTCTTTGGCCCCTCGAGGGGGCTTCTCGGGAGTCCCTGGGAGCCTCGTGAAGGCCTCGACTGTCTTGGACGCTTTAAAGACCACAAGCCGAGCCTGCTGAAATCAAATAAACATGGATTGGCCTTCAATCACTTGGTGCCTCTTGGACCGGCCCTCAGAGTCTCCATGAGGGCCCCAAGAGAGCCCCTACATTTTCTTTTACGGCTACCGAAGTTT